TATAAGAAACAGGAGATTCTTAATAATTAAAGGCAATCAAGATTAAGTACTTAGTTTAATAATCTAATTAAAGCTTTACGGTTACTACCTTTAAAACTATTTAAAAAAAACATGCTCATAGAAGGAACTATTATAATAGATATTAGGGGCCCTGCCCGGTTTGGCTCAGTGGATAGAGCGTTGGCCTGGGGACCGAAGGGTCTCTGGTTCAATTCTGGTCAAGGGCACGTACCTGGGTTGCAGGCTCCTCTCCAGCCCTGGCTGGGGCTCATGCAGGAGGCAACCAATCCATGTGTTTCTCTCACATTGATATTTCTCTCTGTATTTCCTTTTCTCTTCCACACTCTCTAAAAATCCATGGAAAAATATCCTCAGGTGAGGATTAAAAAATAAATTAAAATTAAATTTTAAAAAAAAATTAAGAAAAAATAGATATTAGGGTAGTATGAAACCCTTCCCTCCATTTCTCAAGTTTCTGTAACATGGCTGCATCACTTTTGCAACTTAAAAAAAAATCAGACATACTGGCTTTTTGTTAAATGTATAAAATTAAAAAATTATTGTCAAGGGTAATTTTAAATTACTAAATGAGATAAGAAAAATGAAAGTGTCCTATAAATTAGACACTGCTATAAAATTTTATATGTATTATTTTGCAAGTTATTATGATGATACTAGCTTTAAGAAAACCCAATATCTCAGAATTAAGGTATAGAATAGGTAAATTATGAAATTATCATGTTTTATAAAGGGATTCACAACAGGCTTCCAGAAGTTAGCTTCTCTAGAGCATTTCAAATATTTGATCTGCCATAATTTACTTACAATTCAATTTATAAGAGTATATCTATCATGAAGTATTCTGCACCCATTACAGCACATCTTAGTAAAGATAAAATTACATCTGTCTTATGATTAAAGTATTTTTTAAAAATGTTTTTATTGATTTCAGAGAGAGGAAGGGAGAATGAGAGAGAGATAGAAACATTGATCGGCTGCCTCCTGCATGCCCACTACTGGGGATCAAGCCTGAAACCCAGGCAAGTGTCCTGTTTGGAAATTGAACCATGACCTCCTGGTTCATGGGATGACCCTGGTTCATGGGACAAAGTTCAACCAACTGAGCCATGCCGACTGAGTTGATGAAAATATCTTTTTTAAAAAATAGTATTTTTTTACTGATTTTAGAGAGGAAGGGAGAGGGAGAGATAGAAACATTAATGATGAGAGAGAATCATCAATTGGCTGCTTCCTGCACAACCCCTACTGGGGATCAAGCCCGAAACCTGGGCATGTGCCCTTGACCAGAATCAAACCCAGGACCCTTCAGTCCACAGACCAATGCTCTATTTACTGAGCCAAACTAGCTAGGGCTGATTAAAATATCTTTTTTTAAAAAAATATATTTTTATTGATTTCAGAGAGGAAGGGAGAGATAGAAACCTCAATGATCAGAGAGAACAATCTATTCACTTCCTCCTGCACACCTCCTACTGGGGATCGAGCCCACAACCTGGGCATGTGCCCTTGACCAGAATCGAACCCAATTTCCATTCTGGAGGCTAAGGGCAACTTCATATCAACCAAGTGATATAATAAAAAGAAGCACTGGCATAAGGGTCAGAAGACCAGATTCCACTGACTGGCTAGGTGATCCTATATGCAATCATGGACAAATCATGATCTTTTAAAGAGCAAATAGCTATGATAGAATAGAATGAGTAGAAGATAAAGAATTTGAAAACCTAGATTTGAATTTTAATATAATAGGTATATAACCTTGGGGTAGCTGACTCACCTCTCTGATTTACCTACTTATCAAAGGGTACACTGTTCGAAGAGTCAAATGAGATCACTGAGGGGGGAAAAGCATTTAAAAAATAATTCTTTTTATTAAAATGTAGGATACTATCATATTTAGCTTTCATAAAACTTCAAATTGCAACAAAAATCCTAAATACTCGAGAGAGAAAAACTGTCCTTTTTAAAGCAAGGTCAAAAGCAGGTTTAGAAATGAAAGGAAGGGAAATTTTAAAGTTAAGCCCTTATTTTCTCACCCAGTCTTTAAAGACTTTTGTTCAGTAAAAGGTATTAATTTTTAGATTCCAATATAACAGGAGAAACCAAGATGGCGGCATAGGTAAACACCGGAAATTGATGCCTCACACAACCAGTTCAAAAATACAACTAAAAGACAAAACGGACATCATCCAGAACCACAGGAAGGCTGGCTAAGTGGAAATTCTACAACTAGAAGGAAAGAGAAAAGCACTGAGACTCAGAGGAGGTGCGGAAGTAAAGTGCAGAGGTACGGAGGCGCCCGCGGAAAGGGCTGGCAGCTGAGGACACGGTTGTCTTTTTCAATCGGGAGGGAGTCTCAAGCTCCTGACTGCTCTGAACTCCAGTCTCTGGGGACCCAGACTCATACGGGGAGAAACTGGACTGTCTGGCATCGGGCAGAACTTGAGGGTGGCTTTCTCTCAGAGGTGCTTGCAGCGATTACCGGGACACTGAGACGCGGGGCCTCTTAGGGTAGGACTGGGGAGCAGCCATAGCTGCTTGCTCCGCCCTGTTGATCCCGAGACCCCGCCCCACCCAAGCTGTGCGCAGAGGCTTTTGCATATGAAAGGCCTGGCCCTTTGCAACCTGAAAATTACCTAACAAACTGTAGCTGAATCAGAGAGTCCCAGAACTTCCAAAAGAAGGTCCAAGGCCCTACAGCAGCTTGCATTGCTTCACAGCTGGGCCTCATCTGGGCACCTCCAAACCCCAAACAAAGAAGAGGAATCTCTCCATAGGTCCTGTTGGGTAGCCTCAGGCAGAGCCTAAATTAGCACCTCCTTAGAGATCCAAGAGCCAGTGTACCCAGTGGTCAGAGTGGGACCATCCAGATTACAACTCCTCAGATCCATAAGGGACACACTCAGGGGGCAGACTCAGTGAGCAACAAAGCCCCACTGAAGCAAGTCTTGCCCCAGAAGGGTGTCTCCAGCTCAGAAGTTCTCCCACTGCAGACACAGCTGATTCTCACTGCCAATTGGCCTGGAGGTCAATTCCTCCCAGTGATATCTACAACAATCAAGGCTTAACTACAACAAGACTGTGCACAAAGCCCACAAAGGGGTGCACCAAGAGTGTCCACCTCAGGTAATTGGGGAGGCTAAGCCACTGGGCCCTATAGGACACCTAACACAGAAAGCCACTCTATCAACACAGGGAAGCATAAAAAATGGAGAGACAAAGAAACAAGTCACAAATGACAGAAATGGAGGAAAGCAAACTACTGGACATAGAGTTCAAAACCACACTTCTAAGGTTTTTCAAGAATTTTCTAGAAACCGTTGACAAATTTAGTGAGACCCTCAAGAAATCTAGTGAGACTGCTGATAAATTTAGTGAGACCCTCAAGAAATCTAGTGAGACCCTTGAGGTTATGAAAAAGGACCAACTAGAAATTAAGCATACATTGACTGAAATAAAGGATATTATGCAGAGTTCCAATAGCAGACCAGAGGATCGAAAGAATCAAGTCAAAGATTTGAAATACGAAGAAGCAAAAATCACCCAACCGGAAAAACAAAAAGAAAAAAGAATCCAAAAATATGAAGATAGTGTAAGGAGCCTCTGGGACAACTTCAAGCGTACCAACATCTGAATTATGGGGGTGCCAGAAGAAGAGAGAGAGCAAGCAATTGAATACCTATTTGAAGAAATAATGACAGAAAACTTCCCTTACCTGGTGAAAGAAATAGACTTACAAGTCCAGGAAGCGCAGAGAATCCCAAACAAAAGGAATCCAAAGAGGACCAAGACACATCATAATTGAAATGTCAAGAGCAAAAGACAAAGAGAGAATCTTAAAAGCAGCAAGAGAAAGAAAGTCAGTTACCTACAAGGGAGTACCCATATGACTGTCAGCTGATTTCTCAACAGAAACTTTGCAGGCCAGAGGGAGTGGCAAGAAATATTCAAAGTGATGAATAGCAAGAACCTACAACCAAGAACACTTTACCCAGCAAAGCTATCATTCAGAATTGAAGGTCAGATAAAGAGCTTCACAGATAAGAAAAAGCTCAAGGAGTTCATCACCACCAAACCAGTATTATATGAAATGCTAAAAGGTATCTTTTAAGAAGAGGAAGAAGAAGAAAAAGGTAAAGATACAAATTATGAACAACAAATATGCATCTATCAACAAGTGAATTTAAAAATCAAGTGAATAAATAATCTGATGAACAGAATAAACTGGTGAATATAATAGAATCAGGGACATAGAAAGGGAGTGGACTGACTATTCTCGGGGGGGGGGGTGGAGAGGGGTGTAGGGGGTGTGGGAAGAGACTGGACAAAAATTGTACACCTATGGATGAGAATAGTGGGGGAGGGGGTAAGGGCAGAGGGTGGGGTGGGAACCGAGTGGAGGGGAGCTATGGGGGGAAAAAAGAGGAACAACTGTAATAATCTGAACAATAAAGATTTAATTAAAAAAAAATTTAGATTCCAATATGACCCTACTCTCATCTGATAAGACCTATCAAGAAACTATTTCTATAACAAGAAATTACAGGAAGCATGCAGTTTGGACTACTGCAGTGTTACACGTGAGACAGAACATAGCGTGAGACTGTGAGGGCAACCACTTCTATACTGTTCTACTCAGGGGCTTGGCGTGGTATTTGACACATAATAAATAGTTACCAATAAGTGTTAAGACCCACTTTCTTTCTCCTTTTCTTTTATTGGTGGGAGAAATTTGGGGGGAGGGCTCATATCATAACTCCTTGCAGGAGTGCAAGCACACATAATTTGATAAAACCCTCTTTATCCTCAGAAGACTTGATATTCCTTCCTAGAACATAACATACCCATTCCCCCAACTGCCCACTTTTCCTTGCCTTGGCATAGAGTTGATATTCCTCCTTAGCATAGATCATGAAGCCTTCATTAGTCTATAGCCTTATCTACCCTTCCCAGCTTTATATGTGGCCTTGCAGCTAAAAACAAATATCTGATCTCCAAAACATTAACATATACTTAAGAAACACATTTCTTAACATAAATCAGGGAATCCTAACAAAGTTTTTGTACTGTGAAAAATACTACTTGCTTGGGTTTTATTAACCTAGTATGATATCACCTTTCATTTATTGTTAAATCCTTAGAATATGTTTATTGATATTAGAGAAAGGAAAGGTGGGAGGGAGGGGGAGAGAGAAAGAGAGAGAAACATTGTTCAGTTGCCTCCTGCATGTGCCCCGACCTCTGGTGCATGGGACAATGCTCCAACCGAGTCACACTGGCCAGGGATGCATATTACTTTTTTTTTTTTTAATTTTGTTTTATTGCTTAAAGTATTACAAAGAGTATTACATATGTCCCTTTTTTTTTTTTACCCCCCTTGTCCTTCCCCCGGCCTCCCCTAACCCCCAGTGTCTTGTGTCCATTGGTTATGCTTATATGCATGCATACAAGTCCTTCGGTTGATCTCTTACGCCTCCCCTCCCCCCCAACCCTCCCCAGCCTTCCCGCTGTAGTTTAACAGTCTGTTCGATGCTGTTCTGCATATTACTTTTTAAGAAATTAAAATATCCAAAAGTAGACATTTGGTAGGGAGAAGGTAAATTTTTTTTTTTTTTTTTTTTTTACTTTTGAGCAGCTAATAAAATTTTAAAATAATAAAAAGGACTGTATCTTTCTGATATAAGCCAGACTGTATTTCCTATACCCATTAATAAAGAGGAATACATACAGAGAGAGGCATCTTAAAAAGCCATCACTTTCTCCATCTTCAAGAAAGTTCCTGTGTGCTTGTGAACTTCTCATTTGTAGATCTGGTGAAATAACAAGGCACATGTTTGATATCTTATACTCAAAAGATAGTCCCAAATGACTACTTCTAGATCTATACATTTAATAATGAATGAAAGTTCCTATGGCACATCAAAAAATAAATATTCTACTACCTTAAGGATTTCCTATTTTATTTCCAAATTCTCATTGACATTGAAGCTTTCAATTTAATTACATGTGGGCTTAAATAATGGAATCTGGTTTATTCTAATGTAAAGTTAAAGATGGCCTTATGTACTGTCATTATCCACCCAGCAAAATCATTAGAAAGTTAGTTAAATCAGTATCTAAAGTAAGGTAGAGCCGAAACCGGTTTGGCTCAGTGGATAGAGCTTCGGCTTGCGGACTGAAAGGTCCCAGGTTCGATTCTGGTCAAGGGCATGTACCTGGGTTGCGGGCACATCCCCAGTAGGAGATATGCAGGAGGCAGCTGATCGATGTTTCTCTCTCATCGATGTTTCTGACTCTCTATCTCTCTCCCTTCCTCTCTGTAAAAAATCAATAAAATAAAAAAAAAATAAAGGTAGAAGATAGTACATTTTAAAAGGTAAACTCAGCTTTAGCTTGATCGTTTTATATCCCCATGAGTTAAAATTCACTTCTAGTATGGAAATCAAAATAGAATAGGAACTCATACTTTTAGGGTAGTTTCACTATTTGGTTAGTTTATTGGGATGTATCAGAATATTTCATTAGTTTATACTCACAACATCCTTCAAAGCAAACTAAATGGTTTTAAAATACTGGTTCTCAAAGTGTGGTCCCCAGACCAGCAGCATCAACAAAATCTGGCAACTTGTTAGAAATGCAAATTCTCAGGTCCTTTCCCAGATCTAGAAAATTGGAAACTTTGGAGGTGGGACTCAGAAATCTGTTTTAACAAGCTATCCAGATCCTAATGCACATTAAAGTTTGAGAACCACTGTTGTAGAAATTATTTGTTCATATTCTATTAGTGTAAAAACAATCATGCAACCAATTCTACACAACCAGATTTGATTGCTAATGTTTTTTATCCCAAGCGGCGTAAAAGAAAACTTACAGGACATTTTGCTTAGCGATGATTCTTTCAAATTTGTAGGCTCCTGTTCCAACTGTGATGCATACTGGATTTCTGGCTTAGACTAAAATGATAATGAAAGCAATTAAGTCATTTGTACTCTTTAAGCCTTTCTCAGTAGCAAGTTCTGTAACACATCATCTCTATAAACATTCAAATTGAGAAAAAGTAACAAAGTATGGCATAAAAAATAAAGCATATTAACCACAATATACTTTAATTACACTTCCTAAACATCAGATCCAGTGCCTTGCAAACAGACACAGACTTTTGGCATCATCAAATATTGTTTAACTTCCTGACAGCATAAAAAAAAATAAAAAAAGGACAAATTATAGTATACTGCATTAAATATCATACTCTGCAAAAATGACTTCTAATTCTAGTTGATCAGGAATAATTTAGCAGACTGCCAAAGTATTTGACTAAACACTTATTATCTCTATTTTTTCTCAACTGAAACATTCCATTCTTCCCTAAGTGTAATTCATAAATTACAGCTAAATACTCCATACTCTACATATAGCACTGACCCTCTGGAGTGGGGGCTTCTTTATCCTAGTTACACTCAAGTTGACACAAAGAGAGAAACAGCTAATCTCACATCTAATCAGGAATGAATGAGGTCTTCACTCTAGGAGTCAATTTATGCTTTACCTTAAGTAGCTTTAAGACACAAAACTTGCCCTAACCGGTTTGGCTCAGTGGATAGAGCGTCTGCCTGCGGACTGAAGGGTCACAGGTTCGATTCCAGTCAAGGGCATGTACCTTGGTTGCGGGCACATCCCCAGTGGGGGCTGTGCAAGAGGCAGCTGGTTGATGTTTCTCTCTCATCAATGTTTCTAACTCTCTATCCCTCTCCCTTCCTCTCTGTAAAAACTCAATAAAAAAAATATTTTTAAAAAAAGACACAAAACTTATTGAATTTAAAGAGAGAAAATCACATATTAGCTTTACAGTAAGCCACTCACTTAGTAATAATAATTAAAGGTTCACTTTAATTAATACCTGAGAGAAAGACAGTACCACAACATAATTTGTGGGCTGGTAAATTTAAGAAATTTGCCCTGGCCAGGTGGCTCACTTGGTAGAGCATCGTCCTGTACACCAAAAGGTTGCGGGTTTGATCCCCAGTTGGGGCACATACTGGAGGCTACTGATCGATGTTTCTCTCTCACATTGATGTTTCTCTCCCTCTAAAAAAAAAAAAAAATCAATACAAACATATCCTCAGGTAAGGATTAAATAAATAAAAAAATTAAGGAATTTAACTACAGAATTAAAAAGAAGACAATGTTGTAGGGTGGTATATGAGCCTATGAGTTAAAGTGACCTGAGTCTAAAGCCTATTTTTGTTACTGACAGGGTGACCTTAAACAAGTTAGACTCAGTTTCCTCATCAATAAAATAGGGATAATACAACCTCTTGAAGTTGTTTGAAGATAAAATACATAAGTCCCTAGTACATAAGAACTTAAAAAAAGACTACTATTATTATCACATCACATGGTAAATAATGAAGTAGGAGAAAAGTTACTTCTCTAGGAGGCAATATGCTTCTTCAATAAGTTCTCTTGTAAGAGTTCTGAGGAAAAGCACTAAAAACAACTAAAAATTACACCATATTGCTTTTCTCCAATATAAATATAGGATATAAATACATGCCACTATTTATATTCTAAGTATTTTAATTATTCCTATTTCCCATACCTAGAGGTTTCATTTTATCAATTTCACCACTATAAAATTTAGAAGATTCAAAGTTCTTGTTAGATAAGGATTGAGGGCTTCAGATAGGCTTCCAATAGGCAGAGGGGAGGGTAAGTCACATTGTGTCATGATGCCCAATGTTTTCATTAGGCCAAATAATTATTATTTGATGATAAATATTTTTAAGTGGCATGGCTCTATGCCAAGACATTCATTTGAGACATATACATTTACTGTTGCTGGTATTTACTAGTAGATGAATATATGAAGAACAGTTGTCACCTGGAATATAACTAATTTTCCATCATCAGCTTGAAGATAAAAAGTCCACGAAGAGGTTATGAAGCTCTGCGCAGAGTCCATCATGCCACTCCAGAATGACCGTACCAGAGTTAGAGGGAAGAGTAGATGCATTTTTGGCATCAGAGACATGAGCTTAAAAAAAAAAAAGTCATAATAAATACATTATATATATATATATATATATATATTCATTCAAGAGAGCAACATAATCAAATCCTTATTAGGACAGGGTATAAATCATTAAGTGAATCTACTATAATTAGCACTCAAGTAAACTCTTAGTTATCTATGCAAACTGACTATGGTAAAGCTGAAAATCCCTTTAATTTCTACTAAACACATTTATAAGCTACCTGTCACCTGTATCAGAATAAAAGGCTTTTGAATCAGATAAAAAAATATGGAGACTCTTGCTCTGGCTGGTTTTCTTAGTGGTTTGAGCCCCAGTCCTTAGACCGAAGGGTCGTGGGTTCGATTCCCAGTCAAGGGCACATACCTCGGATGCAGGTTTGATCCCTGGTCCCAGTTGGGGCTCATGTGGGAGGCAACCAATCAATGTGTCTGTCTCATGTCAATGTTTTTCTCTCTCTCTCCCCTCTCCTCCCTCCCTTCCACTCTGTCTGAAAATCAATGGAAAAAATATCCTTGGGTGAGGATTAAAAAACAACAACAAATATGGATAATCTTAAGATTTGATTAAATAAGGCCTAGCAAGGCTCAAGAAATAGAAGGGAAAGGGATAAGTTATTCTTTAATGCTTTCAAATAAAATAAATCATGCCATAATGAACATCAATGAAAAAGAAGGAAAAAAGTCAAAAGAATATATGCATACAATGTGAGACATCTGATAACATGGCAGGGTGAGAGAGTATTTATGGGCTGAATACATATATAGTAAGCTACTGATAGGAATTAACACTAATTGACATAATCTCCCCTCCTGTTCTGATTCATAAATGTGCAAAACATGCAATATCATTGTTATATGATAGATTAGAAACAACCTACATGTCCAAAAATAAGGGAATGCTTATTAAATAAATGATACGTTCATACAAAGGAATATGTAGTGAAAAGAATAGACATTCACTATGTATACTTTAATTTTTAAAAAATTAAGTGCATGTATATAAATAAAATATATCTGTACTGGTAACTCTGACTACTTTAATGGAGAAAAATATAGGGATAGGAGATTTTTCACTATTTACTCTTTTTACCTTTTGAGTTTTGTATCATATGGCTGTATTTTCTATGCAAAAGTTAATAAAATTTAGAAAATTTCCCCAGTATATATGGAGTATAGAGTATGAGGAGTGGGAGATTATAACAGATGACATAGGAGAGGTAATCAGGAGCCAGGTTGTGATAAGTGGTTTGGACTTAAACCTGTGATGGTTTAATGGGGAGCAACTGAAATATATAAGATAGGAGTATGACATGATGAAATTTCCATTTAGAAAGTAAATATCTGGACACAGACTAAAAGATAAACTAGAGGGGGTTAAAGTGGGAAAATAGTTTGGAAGTTAATTTAATTTAGTAATGTAGATGAGAAATGATGATGGTCTGAGTTAAGGTAATTGCAGTTGGGATGGAAAAAAGACACTGAACTATCAATTTCCCTGAGCCTCAGTTTTTTCATATGTAAAAGGGGGATAAAAATCTTCACTAGACAACGAGAAAAAACAAAGTGAGATTATGTATGTGAACATATCTTTTAACAGTAAAGCATCATAGAAAAATGTAATTGATTTGTCTATGTGCAAATATAAAACTTGTTTGCTGAAAACTAATTTAAAATATAACACTAAAATAGGATCAAGTGGGTGATAAATATTTCAATACAAGTAAGTGCAATACAAGCAGGCAATTTTGAAAGGCAGTTTTGTCTCATACTTGTTCTTGTCTCAATTCAGCAAATGGCAGCTGATTCTGGCAACCAAGATGGCAAGCATATTGCTCATCAGATTGGGAATATGCTTCTGTACATGCTGTAAGAGAAAAACAATCAAATTACAAGAAAGAGTCAGAAAGAGAGAAAGTAAAGGAATTTGGCATTTTTATGAAGAAATTTATTACACTAAAACTAAAGGCCTGGTGCACGAAATTCGTGCACTGGAGGGGGGGGGGGGGGGCTCAGCCCCGTCTGCACCCTCTTGCAGTTCGGGATCCCTCACTACTTACCACCCACCTGCTTGCTGCTCCTTAGCGCTACCGCGGAGGCGGGAGAGGCTCCCACCACCGCCACTGAGCTCGCCAGCCATGCGCCCAGCTTCTGGCTGAGCGGTGTTCCCCATGGGAGTGCACTGACCACCAGGGGGCAGCTCCTGCATTGAGCGTCTGCCCTTTGGTGGTCAGTGCACATCACAGCAACCGGCTGTTCTGGTCGTTCCGTCATAACAGTCGCTTAGGCTTTTATTATATAGACTAGAGCAGGGGTGGGCAAACTTTTTGACTCGAGGGCCACAATGGGTTCTTAAACTGGACCGGAGGGCCGGAACAAAAGCATGGATGGAGTGTTTGTGTGAACTAATATAAATTCAAAGTAAACATCATTACATAAAAGGGTACGGTCTTTTTTTTTAGTTTTATTCATTTCAAACAGGCCGGATCCGGCCCGCGGGCCATAGTTTGCCCACGGCTGGACTAGAGGCTCGGTGCACGAAATTCGTGCACTCAGGGGGGGTCCCTCAGCCCGGCCTGCACCCTCTGTCAGTCAGGGAGCCCTCAGGGGATATCTGACTGATGGCTTAGGGCCTAAGCTATCAGTAGGACATCCTTAGTGCTGCCACGGAAGCAGGAGAGGCTCCTGTCACCGCCACTGCATTCGCTAGCTGTGAGCCTGGCTTCTGGCTGAGCGGCACTCCCCCTATGGGAGCGCATTGACCACCAGGGTGTAGCTCCTGCATTGAGCATCTGCCTCCTGGTGGTCAGTGCACATCATAGTGACTGGTGGTTTCACCAGTTGGTTGATTTGCATATTAGCCTTTTATTATATAGGATAACATTTCATCAATATGCATTTCCAAATTTGGTAATAGTAGCAAACGTATCCTATCCTATATAATAAAAGTGTAGTATGCAAGTTGTCCCCTCAACTGGGAGGTCATCCAGGAGTTTGACCAGGGGGCAGGGCCGGCTGGGGGAAGGGAGGGAGGCCCCAGTGGCCGCAGGGAGGCCCTGGCCGGCAGCCAGCAGCCACCAGGGACCCTACCAGTGCACGAATTTCCTGCACTGGGCCTCTAGTTATTTTAATAAAACCCCTATCTTTTATCACCCACAAGTCAAATATTTCAGGTATAAATCTATTAATTACACACTCAAGCTCCTATATGATGACATTTATAAGAGGGGAGCTTCTTGCTAAGGTTTACACAGTGGAAAAACATTGAACAGACAACCTCATTGAACAGGCAACCTCAAGTTTTGGCTCTATCATTTGTTGGTTGTTTATGTGACTAGGGCTAACTGTTTAACCTCTCTGACTATTGAATTCCATAAGTCTAAAATGGAAATACAACCACCTTGGCAAGGAAAAAATAGAAGAATTACTTTAACACCCTAAATTCTAAGAAAATGGAACTTAGAAAATGTTCTACAGCAGGATTCTAAATTTAAATGGGTCTCTACCAGATATACTCTCTTCTTTTACCAGAGACAAATCTTTCTTATGATAGAACACTTCACCATTATAACAATCTTATTTTTTTTTCAAACCTGGTCATGTATTTGTAATATACTTCTCCAAGATGCTAGATAATAAACTGAACAGCATTATGTACACATAAAGATGGCCAGTTTAGGAGTCTGAGCCATAAAAAATAAGGTTATGATATCACAGAGGCTGGATGTTAGTCATGGCATAGTGATAAGGAGTAAGACACCTCCTGCTACACTGAATAAACAGTGTAATGTAATGAACAGAGAAAATTCCATTATAGTTCTTTAAAAAGTTAAATGTCAATTTTATCTTTATTATAGGTTTTTTGTGTGTTTTTTTAATTAAACACCTCTTTCAGCAAAAATAAGAACAGTGGTTTAAGAGATGACAAAGACTCTGGTTACCTCTTTTATTGGCATGGCCCACAAAAGAATACACTATTAAATACTGAGTCAAAGGCCTGATTCAGTAAAAACAAAACTTGGAGCTAAGCTAACTAGCCAATGGTTGAAAGGTTTAGGAAAATTATACTATCTCTTGAAAAGGTAGTGATGAATTATGGGAAGGCTAATTACTACTGCATTTGTCTAAACCAAATACTTGTTTAAACAAAGGTGTCCTATCCACAGTACAAAATAAACGCTATCTCAACAAAAGATGAAATTTAAAGACCATAAAATTTCTAGCAGCAGCTACTAAAACTCTAACTTCATAACAATTAAAATATGCTGGATGACTAGTTTAAACATTATGCTTCTCATTTTCTGAGGAAAATACATTAAAAGTATAACACAGCTCAGAGAAAACATCAATGCTATAGACTGCTGATGTCATTAGCAAAGCATCTTACCAGATTCGCATTCCAATTTGGTCCGATTTAAATCAATTCCATCATCCACAAACTGACAAATTGAAAACAGCCTGCAACCTCTCTGACATGCGTACAACTCCTCTTCCTAGGGAATTCAAGAACAGGGAGGATTACAAAAAAAAATGTATTTCCCTCAGGGAAAAAAGGTCAGAAGAAAGCAAAGTTAGTAGGTTTATTATAAACTGTCCAATAAAAAAATTTTGTAACTGAAAGAAAAACGACAGGAGCCAGGTAATGCCCAAGACCTTTCCCATATAAAGAAGTTTTAGTTTCTTGTTTACAAAGTGATATCAAAGAAAGAAGTCTAGTGAGTAAAATCACTCTTTTCCTATTATTTTTTGGGGGGTGGGGGGGTTGAAAATAAAAATAACAACGACATAATCAGAACTTTAACAAAGATAGAAATGAGTAAGCAAGTACCTTAGGACAAATAGCATACTTCTGCCCATAAATATTTATACAAATCATTAAGCTTATCAGGAGAAGTATCATGATTAGCTTCACAGGGCCAATAGTGCTATAAAGGCCCCCACAAAGTGAGGTGTACATCTACACAAATACTTACATAAAAGGATTTTTAAAACTTGGCTTATTTACTAAAAATACAAACAAGAGCAATAGTACGTTATATGGGAAAGGCCAATGGAATTAGCCAGACCTGGATTGAAACCTTTTCGGTGAGTGACCCAGCACAAGTTACTTTACCTATCTAAAACACAGTTTTTTTCATCAGAAAAGGAGATAATAGCTATAAATTATCTCCAATCCCTTCAGTACTGCTGGAAATAGCTATTCCTAGCACAGTGCCTGGGACATACAAGGTACTCAACAAATGGTAGTGTTAATCATAATAATAGAGTTTTTAAAGAGAAAACAAGTTAAAGACATCATTGTATATGTGTGTGAGCTCAAGGTAGGACATATTCTTCATTACTGGAAAATGTTACCTGCTTAGTTAAGACTAATGGCAATGTCTTCAACAGGCTTTCCGTCAATGACCTACATATAGTATTTGAAACAAACCAGTACATGTGGGGAAGCCCCCTCAACTTACTATGTGATCCACTGGGTACAAACTGCCAGGCACCAAAAAAAGGAAGGAAACAGCATGTGCATATACCAGTTTGCAACCAATGGAATACAAATAGCATTTCTTCGCAGCAGAGGATTAGTAAAATCTATGTGGCAGCAGCAATCCATTAGGAAGAGATGGCTGCAGTCTAATATTAAGCAAGCTTTGAAGACAGCACATTTCTGGACCTCAGTTCTAGTTGCACTTATTAAGATGAAACTGAAAGAATTTTAGCAATTAAAATAAATTTCATACCTGAGTAGCTTTTGCAGACTTTGTACAACAATGAAAGAACTTTCATGCCTTTGGAGTACCACACATTTCCTTAAATTGCACAGAGGAAGCATGAGCTCATTGTTAAGAGCTTTACTGAATGCCATTTCCTTTTCAGATATGTTTTCTTCTGTTAAACCAACCCAATAAGCCCTCCAGTACCTTTTTTTTTTTTTAATCCTCACCGGAGGACATGCTTAGGGAAAGGAAGGGGAAGAGAGAGGGAGGGGAAGAGAGAGAGAAACATCCACAGGTTACCTTCCATAAGTGCTCCACTGGGGGATTGAAACCTAAATACAGGTATGTGTGACACTCAACCAACTGAGCCACTCTGGCCAGGCTCCAGTACCATTTTCAGAAGAGAACATGGTGAAAACAGTCTAGATTTAAAGCTCTGCCCCACCATTTGTACAACCTTGGGCAAGTAACCTAATCTTTCAGCCTCAGTTTCCTTACTTATAAAACAGGAACAATCTTTCTTCAAGATTATGTCAATCTTGAATATGAGGGTTGTACATTTTATATTCACAATATCATTAATACTGTGCTATACAAATAAATAGACATAACATTAATAATATATTTAATGAGCACCCATAATGTGCCAGGCACTGAACTAACACTTAACATCTGATACAACACTTGGCACAGAGTAGGCACTCAAAAATCATTATGAAGAATCATATCCTTATTCTAAGTACGTGTTTTCATGTTCTAGGTAATATTATTACTCTGAGTAAATGATTCACGCCCCCTGTATCCCAAATGACTGGCAAGCGTTTATCAAATACTAGAGGCCTGGTGCACGAATTTGTGCATTGGGGGGAGGGGGGCCCTCAGCCCGGCCTGCACTCTCTCGAAATCCGGGACCCCTCGGGGGATGTCTGACTGCCAGTTTAGGCCTGATCCCTCTCGCAATCTGGGACTGCTGGCTCCTAACTACTCACCTGCCTGCCTGCTTGTTTGCCCCTAACCCTTCTGCCTGCCTGCCTCATCACCCCTAACTGCTCGCCTGCCTGCCTGATCGCCCCTACCGCCTCTGCCTCGGCCCCACTGCCACAGCTTCATCCAGAAGGTTGTTCGGCTGTCTAGTCTAATTAGCATATTATGCTTTTATTATTATAGATATTTCCTCTGATTTAGAGCACAAGGAAATGGTGCTCCCCATCAAATGGAAAACCACCTAAATAATTACAATGAATTTCAATAATACATTTATAGATTTTATGTGCATTTTCACATCCTGAGCTAAGTAAAGCTAACTATTCTCTTATTATTCAGCACTTAGGCAGTTGCTGAGAATGCCACATATATTATCTTTAATTCTCACACTAGCTCTGCAGGGTGTGAAGGTTTTTTCTATAGCTGACAAAACAACGTAAGGAGAAGTTATGTGATCAGCAAGGACACACAGATAGTAAAAGTGGAGCTGTGGATGTAACCTGGGTTTGTATGGTTCCAGAGCCCACACTTTGTAAAAAAATATGACCAGGCTGGACCTAGTCAGCTTTGTTATTAATATAAACTTATGTCTCTTGTATTTAGACCCAGGCAAATTATGCAACTGCACTTTCAAGTAAAGTTAAAGGGTAAAATATCATAATTTAAAAATAATTACTTACAAATAGTTAAGGTATTCTACTTTCTTACAACAAAATACTTCTGAAAATAAGTCATTAAAATAAGATTTCTATCTGCCAGCTACAAATGCCAGACCAAGAGAGGCTATGTGAGCTTGTAAATTCATCTAATTTCTTATATAATACACTGCTTTTTTTCCCCCCTGAACTGCAAAGTACAATTATTGGGAGGAGGGCCAACAGAAATCAGTGAAATAAGTAATTATTTTTAATAGAACGTTTTGATAAAAGGCAGCACAGTATAGCCGGTTTTAGGACTGAGTTCCCACTACTCCACTAGTTATTGGCTATGTGACCTTGGGCAAGTCACTTAACCTTTCAGAGCCTCAATTTCCTCAATTGTAAAACCCTACTTAGCCGGGTGGTTGTGAGAATTAGGGATAATGGGTAATCTCTCATCAAACTGGCTAACAGAAGGTAGACAGTTAATACATTTTAAGTCCAGTATTTCCAGGGAGCCAGATGATTTAGAGTTCCTGGTGACAACAACTTTAAAGAATAAGTAAAAATAGCTTAGAGATCACACAGTTTTTTAGGAAGTAGTGGATATTATAAAAGTACTTAAAAGTTCCAGAAATGTTTATCCTTTCAATTTACTTAGGTATTCTCCCAGGATTCTGGTTCATACTGCAAATTTGCTAGGAAAATCTCAGAAATAAAAGCCAAAACCAAATAGTTGAATGATACAAAATAAGTCTCCATGCCAAACCAGGTCAAATCAATATTAATGAGTTTCCCCATACAATCCTCTCAGATGAGAGGTTTGTAAGAGAAGAAGGTTATTTAGGGATAGTATACATTCAGTCTGGAAATCAGAATGTCTCACTTCTCTCTCTTGCTTATTAGTCTCTGACTGAAAATTTCAGGATAATACCCTCTCCCACATTTTGTCTTGAAAACGGATAATCCGCAGGCAACGTAAACAGACATATGGGAAGTGCTAGCGTTTAGGACTTTCCATTTTCAAAGACCTGAAAACACTCGCCAATAAGGACCATCCTAATGTCACTGGGCCTATCCTCGTGGTCACTTTGTAGACTGAGAACGCAAACAAAATGGGCTAGCCACGCAACGCAAACAACATAGAGATGAAGGGAAAACAAGAAGAGAAAGACCAGCAAGGGCAGCAAAAGCTCTTGCAAATAAAGGCAGTGGGGTGGGGAGGGCATATACCCAAATTATATATGGGAAAGGGTGAGGGAGTTCACCCCACAATCTAGAATGTTGAGTAAACAGAGTTCTCAAGAAGCTGAAAACAACACCTTGAGAAGTAGAATGGAATTAAAGAAAGACAGCACCTGTGTGTGTGTGGGGGGGGGGGGGCAGTGAAAGTAGGGTGACCCCTTCCTCCATGAGAGGCGGTCTCATTTCTTGACTCACTTCAGTGTATGGTAAATTCTTTCAATGCAGACGCATCGACCTGCTTCTTCCCTAAGCCATCCCAGGCCCTAGCGGCAGAGCCTTGCACACAGTAATTCAACACAGGCTTTGGAAAGCCCTGTCCGTGCGTCTCACAATTCCTCGGGCTGCTGAACACGGTTCATACCATAGTCACTATGGATGGCAAAGTGGGACGGTCTGCTCGTCTGACTCCCGGAACAGACGCTTAGCTCCCGGCCCAGGGAGGTGCTCCGTAAACACGGTTCGTGAAGGAACCCTTTGTGGGCTTGCGTTTCTGGCCCCGCCCCGCCCCCGCCGTGCCTTAGGCTCCCTGAAGGTGAGGGTCCCTCTGAACAGGCAGCATCCTCCTCCCGCTTGGAGAGCACTGCTGCCCGCAAGCTCTTTCTCATCTCCGCATCCCTCCCCCCACCCCCCCGGCCCCCTACAGGGTCGGTGCAGCACAAACTTCCGGCAATTACAGCGGGAGCGAGTGCGAGTGGGGTTAGGGAAGAAAACAGGAGCGACACAGGTGGGAGACAGCGGCTGAATGGCGGATTCAACGGCCAGCTTCCCGGAGCCGAAAGAGGAGCGCGAGGGCGGAAAGACGAACGGCCAGGGAAGGGTGGTAGCCCGGTTCAGACGGGCCCTACCTTGGGGTAGGTGTGCAAGGGGTAGGTCAACTGACAGGCCCGGTGGCAAGACGCCGTATCCCCCAACACCGAGTCAAACGCTTCGGCCGAGGCGGTCCCCGAGCCTCCGGCCAGGGCCACGGTCAGCAGCAGCAGCGGCGGAAGCCCCAGCTGGGCCCTGACCCGGAGGCTCCCTCTCGGCACCGCCATTTTGTTTCCCTCTGTCAAGGCAGCTCAGCTTGTTGCTGTTTTCTTTTCAGGATTTCCTCCTCCTTCCGGGGCCAGCTTCCCCGCCCCCACCCCGGCTGCCGCTTCCGCCTCCGCTGTCCCGCTCAAAAGAGGTGGAGCCAACCCTCGCGAGCACTGGAGCGAACCGGCATCCGGGACCCCTTTCTTCCTCTGCGGGGCACGCTGGGGCATGTAGTTCTTCACCGGCGGGAGGCGCCCTGGCGGTCGGGAAAGCTGGTCTCGGAGAACTACAGTACCCTGGGGGCGACCTCGCCCGCCCCTTCGCAGTGCATTCTGGGGAGGGTGGTTTGCAGTGTCGCTGAGGCTCTCTGTGGACGGACGTCTCTCCCGAGAAACTACCACCCTGGAAGGAAGCGTCCGTTTAGTTTCATCAGGCCGAGACTGGGGAAGAGACTGTTTAATGGACTCTTCGCAACCGTAGTTCTCTGGAGGGGCCTCGCTGCTGCCAGGCTGCTTTTCCTGGTGCGTTTCACGTCAGACCGTTGCTAGGTCCCCCTTCCTGGGCTCGGGAGTGCTGAGGGCAGAGCAAGATGGTGTTTAATAGCATTTTCGCTCGGGGATCGAGAAGCCCATAGTCGTGGATAGGGAGGGCTCTGGGACCACAAGCAGTTCCTGGAGACAGGGACTTGTTGCGAGGACTTTGCTGAGATCCGGTTACTAGGGAAAACCTTGGGATTGCAGCAGTGGTGGGGTAGTTATTAAGAGAGCTTCATCGCACCCAGTGGAACTTGATCCTGCCACAACCCAACCTAAGTTGGAAGAGGTTTGTCACTAGGTTCAACGCCTGGCCCGGTATTGGACTCCCCTCCACAGCGTGCACTTCTGAAAACTCGGCACTTTCTGACCCAGATAGTAGACCCGTTATTGTACAAGTTTCAGGTCTTAGGAAGATGTTTCTTTTTCAAGAGAAAATCTTCCCATAAATTCCACCCAGTAGTCCTCATAATCCAGGAAAGCTTCCAGAATCCAGAGTGTATAGACCACAGTTGTGTCATTTTAGGGAACACACATCCCAACAGTTAGGACGTTTTAGAATCTGCCCTCTTTTCTTGAGCAGAACGCACTGCAAGCACATGGAGGTAGTCGGAGGCCCCTAGAAATGGATAAATTCGTCATTCGAACGCCTAGACTCCAGAGTAGTCCTCAGAAGAAAGGTCCTGGAGGGAAGATTTACAAGCAGGCCACAATCGAATCTCTGAAGGTGAGAAGGGGACCTGGGACTAGAGAAAATGTGCCATGGGCTGTGATGGCAAGGTGGTGTGGAGTTCTGTGGAAGACCTGTGTGCTATTTTTGCATTACTTCCCAGTGTTCCTGACCACTCCTAACTTGTTTTCCCCGTACCCTGTACTGATTTCGATTTATCAGTTCCAGGACTTCTCTTACATTTGCCTAATTACTTTGGCTTAATGGTATGTTTTGGTAGCTGGTAGGACAAACCCCCGTTGTTATTCTTCTTTTGCAAAATTTTGTCTATTAGGAATGTTCAAGTACCAAGTATGAGTTTATGTACCCTGTATAAACTCAGTCAGGCTGGGTGATGATACTGTACTCTCCTCGCTTTTTGGCCCGAACTGTATCACAAGACCTCCATCGCTATATCTGAGATTGGGAGAGACTATTTTAATGGACTCTTTGCAACCTGAGTGTGTTAGCAAAGAAGAGTCAAGGAATAGATACAAGGATAGACAACCAACAGTGAGTCAGCCAACATAGATTCTCAATTAATGGTAAAATAATTATTTCACTAAAAACAAAAAACTACTTGTAATTAGTTTGCTTTGTCTTCTTGAACCTCTCTTCCTACATATTGGACTTTTTCTTTTCTGTTTCCTTTATTGGTTCCCCTTCCTCCACTAGACTCTAATGTTTGTGCTCCCAAGAGCTTACCTGACTCAGATTAGAAAGCATTGAAGGGGAGTATAAACAGAAGCCCTGGGTTCTAGTCTTTACTGTGCAACTGGGTGATCTTTAGCAAGCCATTTTCTTCTCTGGGATCTCAGTTTGTCCTCCCCATAAAATGTAGGGTTGTGCCCTAGCTGGTTTGGATCAGTGGACACAGCATCGGCCTGCGGACTGAAGGGTCCCGGGTTCAATTCCAGTCAAGGGCACATGCCCGGGTTGTGCACTCAATCCCCAGTGGGGGTGCCTGCAGGGAGGCAGCCATTCAATGATTTTCTCTCATCATTGATGTTTCTATCTCTCCCTCTCCCTTCTTTTCTGAAATCAATAAAAATATATATTTTTAAAAATGTAGGATTAAATAATATCAGTGTTTCTTTAAAGGAGCACTATTATCATTTGGGGTAAGAGAATTCTTCATTATTTGGAACTGCCCTGTGAGTTGTAGGAAGTTTAACATCCCTGGCCCTCAGATACTAAATGCCAATCGCACCTCCCACTGTGATAACTGTGGGCTACAAGGCTGCGGTGGGCACAGGGCAAGTCTTGGCCCATCCTCTTGCGCCCCCGCCCAGCCCTTCCTGCCACAGCCCCGGTCCCCTGTCTGCTGAAAGGCCCCGCTTCCACCACCGCAGCTCCCCACATGCTAAATGGCGCTGGCCCACTCTATTGGGGCCAGCGCCAGCAGCGGGTGCGAGCAGGGCGGGTGGGCGCTGTCAGCAGGTGCAAGCAGCGGCTCCAGCGCTGGCTGCGAGTGCGAGCAGGGCTGGCACTGGCGGCAGGTGCAAGAGGCTGCCGGCCCCGATTGCCCCTCAGGAGCAGGAGGAGGTGGAGAAACCCTCAGGGGCAATTGGGGCCAGCAGCTGCCGCTGGCACCCGCTGATGGTGCTGAGTGATCGGGGCCAGCGCCAGGCACTGTCAGCGGGTGCGAGTGGTGGCTCCGGCGCCAGCAGTGGGTGTGAGTGCCTGGGGTGCAGGAGGAAAGAATTTTCAGTAACCACCAGAGGCTTGCCCCGATGACAGCAACCGGCACCCTGCTTTGGTCTGGCACCCTGCTTCACCATCTCGCCAAGGCCAATGCCTGCCATGTTCTGTGCTCTGCCGCCTGCTGCCGGCACCCACCGTGGTCCACATGCGCCCCCTGGTCATCAGCACACATCATAGCAACCGTTGTTCTGCTGTTCGGTCTATTTGCATATTAGGGTTTTATATATAGAGATAACTTTATGCCTAGCACTATGCTGAGGTACTCTAGGAACCATAAGGGAAATTTAAGGTCAACGTATGAATCATCATGGGACTTCCTATTAGAGCATCATAGCAAAAGAAATTATTAAGTAATGATACAAAATCATATGTGATCCAATACAATTTGTTTTTTGGACAAAAAGGGTTAAGAGTTAAGAGAGGAGAGAGCTCAATGTCTCTTACTGGTCAGAGCACCCAAAGGGATGGAAAGATTTGGCTAGGTAGAGGGAAGTAGTGACAGATACCCATTCAGTAAGTGGTACTTGCTGTTCTCTTTCCTTTGTGCACACACACACATGCCTACTTTCATTTGTACACAATGACAAAATCAAGTTGAGTTAAATGTGAGTTCTAGAGTGTTAGCTAGGTCTACTCTCTGCCAAATGACTTAGTCCTACACACTAGCATCACATTTTAATGCCAAGAATCTGCTGAATGTTCAAGCCTCAATTTCCTCATCAGTAACATCAGAAATAATATCTAACCTGCAGTGTTGTTATAAGGGCTAAATAAATAAATGCATGTTGAAAGGGTTAAGTATTATGCCCGGAATGTAATAAAAACAGCTATTTCCTCTTTTCATGTTCAGAAAAGGAGAGGCTTGTGTAAAACTAGAACTAGAGCTGATGATGGGGATGATAATAGTAGTAATGAGTACTAACATTTTTTGAGCCCATTTCTATGGGCCAGGCATTGTGTTAAGTGCTTTCCATATAGTAACTCTTTAAATTCTGTGAAATGGATGATTTAATCCTCGCCCAAGGATATGTTTCATTGATTTTTAGAGAGAGAGAGAGAGAGAAGAAACATCAATGTGAGAGAGAAACATTGATTGGTTGCCTTCCGTGCCCACTCCAAGTGGAGATCAAAACTGCAACCTAGATATGTGTCCTGACCAGGAATCTAAACACCACCTTTCGGTGTGTGGGACAATGCTCCAACTAACTAAGTCCACCCAGGCAGAGCTATCATTTATATTTTACAGATGAAGAATCTAAGGCAGAGAGATTAAGTAGTTTGCTCAAGGTCAGAGACAATCTGATTCTACAGTCTGCCCCCTATAGGGTGAACTATTAAAAAAAGTGGAGGTTTCGGAATGCCATGCAAAGGAAGTATAAAAATCTTAGAATATTAGGACCATTGTACTTCTGTTATCAGTGTGGTACAAGTAATTTTGCCATAGCCTTAATGCATTCAGTGAAAGTGATACTCAATAGAGCTCAGTATTGTACATTTGTATGGTAAAGGTTAATTTGGATAATCTCTTACTCCCTTAAGGGAAAGTGATTTCTTCTGTTGGTTGCAATAGGAGATTTTATTACTAAAAGGTTCTAGAACATGCTAATCCTTTTAGGTTCAGCACGTAAGAATGCTCTATAAACCTTTCCTCCCTTTGTAGGATTGACTATCCAATATGTGTCCCTTGCCCCACCAGTGGAATGGTGCTCATGTTATTGCTTATGAGAGAGTCATTGTCCCTAATTGGTTTTGTCAAACTTGATAATTCAGCCATCCACAACTGTAAGACCAGATGGTATTTTGGAGAACACCTCTTCTTTCTGGCAATAACCATTCCACTACTAATTGTAGCTACCCCATTGGTATTTCTTGTTCAATTCCCTTGTTCCTCCCCATAATTCTGATACAAATTTGAAATATATGTTTTGGGGTTCACATTTGGATGGAAATAAGGAAGCATTCTTTGATATTTATGGAATTCTTCTGCTCTGGAACTGACTGCTATATTTTCTATTTCTGCCCCAAAATTTCAGATCTGAAAATGATGCTGTACTTAGTCTTTGAGGGTAGAAATGGTGTTGTTCAGTTACACTTGTTTTTGTGCACTGGGGATAGCCCTCAAGTTGTTCATAGTCTAGTGGGGAAGACAGCCTTCTAGATAAATATATGCAGAAAGCAGAGATATAGTAATAGAAGTCTGTACAGATTACAAAGGGACCCAAAAAAGAATATGGTCAAATGTGTTTGGAGGGAGGCAAGGATGGCTTCATAGAGGAGGTGATGCTTGAAGAGAGTCTTAAAAATTAATACGCAAAGAAAGAACATCCCAGGCAAAGAGTGTGAAATACTGTGACTTGTTTAGGCAGCTTTAACTAGGTTGATGTATCTGGAGCAAATGATGAAGTTGTTAGGATGTCAGGAGCCAAGTCATGTAAGGCCTTTCATGCCATGCTAAAGAGTTTGGGCTTCTAGTTCCATATGCTGGAATCAGCTGAGTGAAACCCTGCACTTCATTCTAACCATGTAGAAAGTCTCCAGTACAGCCCTGCCAGTGAGGCGCAGTGGTTGAGTGTCAACCCATGAACAAAAAGGTTATGGTTCCATTCCTCATCAGGGCCCATGCCCGGGTTGAGGCTCCATCCCCAGTAGGGGGCGTGCAGGAGGCAGCTAATCAATGATTCTCTCTAAGCATTGATATTTCTCTCCCTCTCCCTTCCCCACTCTGAAATCAATAAAAACATATATTTTTTTAAAAAGTCTCTAATACTGAGGTGAATTTGAAAACAAGAAGGAGAAATCCTCAGGTGCCAGGAAGAAAGAGGAAATCCAAACCCAGAGCTGAAGTTGAATAGTTCTGTTGAAACCAGATGTAATGCTTAGGGGCTAGGGTTTTAAGGTCAGTACGGGGATTGCACATAAATCCTCAGGTTAACAACCCCCATATGAAGCTGAGAGCCAAAACAACACTACCATGTTTGAGAAAAATGAAAACTAGAAAAATTTCATTAGTCTAAGGAAACATCATGAAGATTGTGGTCTTCTCAGGGTTTGGGGTGAAAAAAGAGTTAACTATAACAGTGTAGAACTCCATACTTATTACTATGCATGGAGATATACATCTATATTTACATTTATACACGAACACATATAGGCTATATAATAAAAGGCAAATATGCAAATGGACCGAACGGTGGAATGATCGTTTGCTATGACGTGCACTGACCACCAGGGGGCAGGCGCTCAATGCAGGAGCTGCCCCCTGGTGGTCAGTGCACTCCCACAGGGGGAGCGCCGCTCAGCCAGAAGTCGGACTCATGGCTGGTGAGTGCAGCAGCAGTGGCGGGAGCCTCTCCTGCCTCCGTGGCAGCGCTTAGGATGTCCGACTGCCGGCTTAGCAGGAAGCAGGCCTAAGCCATCAGTTGGACATCCCCCACAGGCTCCCGGATTGCAAGATGGTGCAGGCCGGGCTGAGGACCCCCCCCCACTAGTATATATATATACTAGTGGCCCGGTGCACGAAAATTCGTGCACTGGGGGGTGTCCCTCAGCCCTGCCTTCCCCCTCTCACAATCCAGAAACCTCAGGGGATGTCCTACTGACACGGGGGGGCGGGGGGAGCGTGGAGCAGGCCTAAGCCGCAGTCGGGGCCTCCCTCTGTGGGAGGCGACCAGCCGATCAGGGAAGGTGACACCCCCATCATGCTGCCGCTGCTGCTGCTGCTACTGCCAGCCGCCATGGCTGTCTGAGCCTTGGCCCTCGCAGGCACTGCAGCTACCTGAACCTTGGCCTGGCCCTCGCAGCAGAAGTAGCTGCCATCCGCCGCTTGTCTGAGTCCCTGTGAGCCCACGGTGGATCAGCCAGGCCAGGTGGGGCCTGGGGAGGCCTTTCCCTCCTGGAGCCATTCTTTCCAGGGTGGCAGCGCCAGCCGTTTTTTTTTTTTCAATTTTTTTTTTTTTTTATTGGAAAGCAAGCTCTGGGCTTGCGGTTCCTGGGATCCCTGGACCATAGCATGCACCTCCAGGACTCACTGTGCCCCCCCACCCCCCATCCTGGGTTGAGTGGCTGGCCCCTGGTGGTTGTTACAGTGTTACACCCTTAGGGCTTTTATTATATAGGATATATATACATATAGCTTAAATCACACTATCTGCAATCCTGAATTATAAATACACACACACACACACATATATATATAGCTTAAATCACACTATCTGCAATCCTGAATATTAATTAGGGGAATAGATTTTACAACTTTTAGGGCATTTGTATATAAAAATAATGAAATACTCTCCAATACTATTAAAGTATATTATCTGGCTTTATATATATATCAGTATGAATAAATAAAGAAGACATATTGAGTGAAAAAGCAAGGTGTGGAATGATAGGATATTTATACCTTCTTCCTATTGAGACTATTTCAGAACACTAAAACTTGATTGGCATCACAACAGAAAGTAAGGCTTTTTCTGCCCTTGCCTCTCTTTTTCCTAGCTTCAAACCTGGAAGGGTTAGAGACCAAAGCAAAGAAGCAGATAGGATAGGAGGAAGAACAAAGATGGGAAAGTAGAAGAGTCAGACATATCCTCCTCCCACCACTGCCAGCTAGGCTGGAAGCAGACCCCAACCAGGGGAGGAAGTTGAGCCTTTTTTTGCTGTTGTTGCTTTTATATATTTATATATACATATATACTTTAAATTGATTTCAGAGAGGGAAAGGGGGAGAGAGAGAAACATCAATGATGAGAATCATTGATTGGCTTCCTCCCACGTGCCCCCTACTGGGGATTGAGCCCGCAACCCGGGCATATGCCCTGACCGAATCCAGCAGTGACCTCCTGGGTCATAGATGGACCCTCAACACTGAGCCACAGCAGCTGGGCTGTTGTTGCTTTTTATTGAACTACTAGAGGCCTGGTGCATGAAATTTGTGCACTCGGGGGGGGGGGTGTCCCTCAGCCCAGCCTGTGCCCTTTTGCAGTCCAGGAGCTCTCAGGGGATGTCTGACTGATGGCTTAGGCCCGCTTCCCGTGGGAGTGAGTCCAAGCTGGCAGACATCCTTAGCGCTGCTGTGGAGGTGGGAGAAGCTCCTGCCACTGCAGCTGCACTCGCCAGCCGTGAGCCCGGCTTCTGGCTGAGTGGTGCTCCCCCTATGGGAGCGCACTGACCAGGGGGCAGCTCCTGTGTTGAGCGTCTGCCTCCTGGTGGTCAGTGCACATCATAGTGAGCGGGTGTCCTGCCATTTGGTCAATTTGCATATTAGACTTTTATTGTATAGGATGACATGCCTATAAAAAAGTGGACAAATCATGAGTGTACCTCTTGACAGATTTTCACAAAGTGAACACACCTATGTCACCAGTATCCAGATCAAGAAACAGAACATTACCGGAATGCTGGAGCCCTCAATACCCTCTTCCATTCCTTAACTGGGCCCCCTCACCAGGGTAATAACCGTCAAGACAAAATTTTTAAAAATTTTTATTGATTTCAAAGAGGAAGGGAGATGGAGAGAGAGAGAGAGAAACATCAATGATGAGAGAGAATCATCATCTGGCTGGCTGCCTCCTGCATGCCTCCTACTGGGGATCAAGCCTGCAACCCAGGCATGTGCCCTGACTTAGAATTGAACTGGACTTCCTGATTCATAGGTCAGTGGTCAGCCACTGAGCCACACCAGCTGGGCAAGATTTTTTAATTATAAAAACAACTTTATTATTTTATCTTTGTTTACTTTTTAAAAAAAATTCTTTAGTTGAAATAATTTCAAAACTACAGAAAAGTTGCAACAGAACAAAGAACTTTCCTATCCCTTCACCCAGATTCCTTAATTGTTAAAATTTTATACTTAATGAAAAATGGTAATAAATGTTTTATTTATAAAAATGGCAAAATGTTAACTTTAAAAAAATACTTTTTTTATTGATTTCAGAGAGGAAGGAAACGGGGAGAGAGAAACATCAATGGTGAGAGAGAAGTATTGATTGGCTGCCTCCTGCACACCCTCTACTGGGGATTGAGCCTACCCGGGCATTTGCCCTTGACCCAAACCGAACCTGGGACCCTTCAGTCCGCAGGCTGGCACTCTATCCACTGAGCCAAACCAGCTAGGGCTTAACTTTTTTTATTATAAATAGTGAATTACTCTACCTTTCTATGTCTTTAAAGTTTTAAAAAATTCTTTAAACGAGACCGTTTTAGTTCTTCATCTAGGAAGCAGGGAGCTGTTGAAGTGCACTTTTATTGTTGAAATAAATATGTCTTTATGACTTTTCTGTTCTCTTTCCTCATCTATGGATTAAAGCACTTAAGTAAGCTATAGGGTTGATTCACCTCAGCATCGTTTTTCTTTTTTCTCATCCTTATTGCTTCTCACTGCTAAGTGCCCAGTGGTGTCTGACATGGTAAGATTAAAACTTGCACTTTTCCTAATAGATGTAACTCTCTTCCTGATTTGCAGTAAGCAGGACCTGCTTTTAAGCAATTACCCATCATTTGGGGCTTCACACACACTGTGCTTTGGTTCAGGTCATAATCAATAATTCATATGTCAATAGGAGCCCCATTAGCTCAGGTGAAGGCAGATGTCTTTATAATGAAAATGTTCCATTTTCCAAATGACGTTTCTTTTTCCCAGAGAGTTGTGGTTGTAGAAGACATAAAAAGATGGAAAACTATGTTGGAGCTTCCTAATCAAACCAAAGAGAATCTAGTTGAAACCTTACGAGAATTAAAGAAGAAAATACCCTCCAAGGAAGTGTTAAAATCAACAAGGATAGGTATGTTTCTTCTGAATGTTATGCAGAGTACTTATATTTTGTCTCTTTCCTTCTTCCTTTCCTCCTTCCCTCACACATTAAATTACCTATCATATCATTGCTTCTCAAACTATCCATGGTAGGGACCGTTGTTTTAAAAAGTTTCCATTGGTTGCAGACCAGTACTTTCATAATATATGATAAAAATTACCAGAAAAATAAAATTAAAAAATACAAAATACAAGCCCCACTTTTTAATTATTAGATTCAACAAATGTAGAATTACTCTGTAAATTGCTATAAAATTTTCTAAATGCTTCAGTTTCTGAGTTGATTGCCTGGACTAGTAACTGGCAGTGATCTATGGATGACATTTTGAGTGAGTTTGATGCTGGGTGTGCAAAAATGAGTAAGACAATGATTCATGATCTCAAGGAACTTAGGGTTTGGTGGAGAAATAAGCATGTAGACAAATGTGAACAGTAAGAAATTATAGGTTATAAATAAAAACAATAGAAATTATATCTGTGGTACCATTCTGATTTATACAAGGTATATGCTGGCATAAAGAACAGAGTAGTCATTTGCACCCGGGGAGTTAGAAAGGGCTTCATAGAAGAAGTGACATTTCAGTTCAATCTTGTAAGAGACTTGGCTTTTCTGTCTTGAGTAGAAGTAACTTGCAAAGCATGGTTTATAAAAACAAAATGATAGCATCCTTTGCTGCTACATCATTTGTTATGGTATTAGAGATATTTAAAAGATAAATAAGGGACCACGTTGAATTGCTATTTTAGTATCGTACACAACTGTGAATAATCTGCAAGGGAGGACCAACATGTGTTCCTCAAGCTGCTCCTGACTCCCCAGGGAGTCCAGGGTAGTCACTCACAGCTGCTGTTCCTGCCCTCACTAGTGCAGCCATCGCCTTCTCTGCCTCCCCTTGACCTCTTGTTCATGAGAGGCAGGAGAGAGCAGCTTCGCACTGGCGCTAACAGCTGGCAGGAGCTGTGTGAAATCCCCCAGAGAGCCCCCCAAGAGTCTTGAGAGTTGCACCCCTGTAATATAAACCAGAATCTGAGAAAATTAGATGCTTAAAGAACATAAAACCCTATCATTATAGCCAAGGAAATGCTCCCATCTGCTGGTGGATTTTCTCTTTATAGGTTGTGGTCACTAGAGGGCAATAAGACCATTCATATGAGCAGATAAGGTATTTCCACCAGTAGAGGGTACTAGTGATTAATATTTTATGACCTGTATATATTTACATATATGTATGTATATGTTCATATTTAGGCACATGCCACAGTTACTATTTATGATCAGAGCTTAAATATCAGCATAATAGGCTGGAATTGTCCTACAAATATAGAACATGATAATTTTTAAAAAATCCTTTCTATTACTTCTTTGAGTAAATTGTGAGTATGCTTTCAATAATGGGTGTGTCTGATCAGAGATTTCAATTCGAAGATCATAATGAAACCACAAGAGGCTTGACTTGAGAGGAGCTGGAAACCATCCAAGTTTTGAGTCTTGACCCTACCCAAGCCTTCCCTAAAAATGAGGTTGAATAGAGTATAGGGGTTTCTTGATTTTTTTGTAGTTGCAACAGTTGCTAAGCTGAAGATTCATTTGGATCATTGCCTGAGCATGTTTACATTCTTCCATCTTTAGCCTTCTGCCTGTCCTTATCCTGTGGGCTATAAGAGACCAAATTTACTGAGTGCTTTCTTTGTTCTAGGAACTGTGTTGGCATAATAATGGAGACCGATATTGTCCATGCCACTTTGAAGCCTGCAGTCTAATGGAAGGACAGCCAATTTAACAAGACTGTCAGACAATGTGATGTTTGCTCTAATGATCGGGAGAAGTTAGCTTAAGGAGTATATATATTGAGAGTAGAAGAGAAGATGTTGAAGAATGTGTCAGGCAGGGCCTGTACATGCGAGTTGCACACAGGGCTGAAGGTGGGAGAGAACAGGATGCATTGCAGAAACTAAAAGAAGTTTGGTGTGTTTGAAGTGAAGCTGGAGAGCCAGTCTGGACCAGATGGAGAAGGTCTTTTGTAAGCCATTCAAAACTCTTTGGTCTTAGCATGTGTAGTAGTTATCTATCCCTGTATAAAAAGTTACCCCAAAATTTAGCAGCTTAAGTATTGTTATCTCACACAATTTTTCTGAGAGTCAGGAATCTGGGAGCTGCTTATCTGGATGGTTCTGGCTCACAGTCTCTTAAGAGGTTTCAGTCAAGCTATTGGCTGTGGCTGTAGTCATCTGAAAGTTTGACCAGGGCTTAAAGAGCTACTCAAAATGGCTCACTCCCAGGATTACTGGTAGGAGGCCTCCGTTGTTCATCACATGAGCCTCTCCTTAGGGCTGCTCATGACATGGCAGCTGCCTTTCTCCAGAACAAGTGATCCAAGGGAGAACCACCAAGATGAAGCTACACAGTGTCTTTTATAACCTAATCTCAGAAGTGACATACCATCACTTCTGTCATATTCTGTCGGGCACACAGACCAGCCCTGGTACAGTTTGAGAGACAACTACATATAGGTTATAAATACCAAGAGGTGAAGATCATTGAAGGCTATTTTGTAGACTGGCTACTACAACATGTATTTCTTTTTTCTCTTTTTAAATATATTTTTATTGATTTTAGAGAGGAAGGGAGAGATAGAAACATCAGTGATGAGAGAGAATCATTAATCGGCTGCCCCCTACTGGGGAATCAAGCCCATAACCTAGCATGTGCCCTGACCAGTAATCAAACCAGGACCTCCTGATTCATAGGTCAACACTCAACCAACCACTGAGCCACACTGGCTGGGCAACATGCATTCTTTTTATTTAACCTAGATATATTATACTTCTTAGACATGCAGATTTGTGTTCATTTGTAGAAATTTAACAGTCATTATCCCTTCAAAAGTACCTCTCTTTCGCTCTATTTCTTTGTTCTGGGATTCTATAATTACAAGTATGTTAGACCTTTTATTTTCCATATCCCTTAGCTTGTTTGTCATATATATTTTTTTAATCTCGTCTCTCATAATATTCTGGGCAGTTTCTTCAGATATATGTCTTCCAAGTCACTAGTTCTCTTTCTAGCTGACTCTAATCTGCTATTTAACCTATTCATTGAGTTCTTTATCTCAAAAACTATTTTTCATTTTTATAAGTTTCCTTTTTACCCTAAATTTGTCTCTTTTAAATAATATTTGTACATTCTTATGATTGTGCCTTTTATTTCTTTAAACTTAATGTGTAGTTCTTCTGTCTTTTTAATCTGACTCTTCTAATATTTGTGGTCCTTGCGGGTTTAAATCTGTTGTTTATTGTTTCTGCTGACTCTCATGGTGCTTGCCTTCCCATGTATTTGTTAATTTTTAATTGTAAGTGCATTGTTTTCTTTCAATCTGTGGGAATTTAGTGGGACTAAATTGGAGAAGCTTCCCTCTAGAGCAGCTGTCGCCAACCGGTGGTCTGCAGACCACTGGTGGCCCGTGAAGTCTGAAAGGTTGGCGACAGCTGGTTTAAGGAAACCTTTGGAGCAGCAGTTGCCAACCATTGGTCCACGGACCACTCACTGGTGGTACGTGAGGTCCGAAAGGTTGGCAACCGCTGCTCTAGAGGGAATTAGCTTCCTTCTTTTTTTTTGTTTCTGCCAATAGTGAAGGGTCACTTCTGATCTGGAATACTTTAGCACACTTCTCAAGGATCCTAGCTCAGTTGAGCATCCCAGGATTAGCTATCCTACTTCACCACTGGCCCAAAAGTAAGTATTTCAGCAGCATTGCTATTTACATCAGCCCTTTGTTTAACCCTCCCCATCCCTCAGCCTACCCCTTTGGCCTCTGCTTACTTTTTTGGAAGAGGGAATGAGGTAGTTTTTATCTAGAATCTAGTTTTACTGCAGTGAAAGGATAGTTTTTGTCCATTATGAAGCCCAAGACCCTAAAGATAGTAAGTGATTGTTATTGGAGGATTTTGAATGGAGGAGTGACATAGTCATATTTGCATTTTAGAAAAAAAATATACTGGCTGCCATGTGGAAAAGTACTGGAGAAAAGCAAACCTAGAGGCAATTAAAACATCTGGTTGGGAAATTAGGGTGGCCTGGGTAGGGTAGTAGTCGAGGGGATGGAGAAGTGTGGTTCGAATCAAGAGCCGCAAGTGGAATAAAATCCCAAAGGACGTAGAGACCGATTGGATGACGGGAATGAAGATAAAGGAGTGAAGGCTAAAGCCTAGATTTCTGTTATGGCCAAGTAGGTGGATGTCAGTACCACACATTAAGATAGAGAACAGCAGGTTTGGAGGTGGAGAGATTCATAAATTCGGTTTTAGACTTACTGTGTATGACATACTAGTGACATCCAAGAGGAAATGTCCAGCAGAATGTTGTATGTACAAGGCTGAAGCTAAAGAGAGACTAAGTATATACAGGGAGTTATCAGCAGCATATAGTTAGAAATTGAGGCACTCTATATATATAAAACACTAATATGCAAATAGACCAAATGGTGGAACAACCGAACCAGTTGCTATGACATGCACTTACCACCAGGGGCACACGCGGAACATGGTGGGCGTTGGCCGCCGTGGGATGGTGGAGTAGGTGAGCGGGGGCACCAGATCAAGGCGGGGTGCTGGTTGCTGTCATCAGGGCGAGCCTCTGGTGGTTACTGAAAATTCTTTGCTCCCACGCACCATGGTCCCGCCCAGCGCTCGCACCTGCTGCCAGCGCCGGCCCTGCTCGCACCGCTGCCAACACTGGAGCCGCTACTCACACCCGCTGATGGCGCCAGCCCTAATCGCTCTGTGCTGTCAGCAGGTGCGAGTGGGGCCGGCACCATCAGCTCGTGGGAGTGGCAGTGGCAGGAGTGGGGCTGCAGACAGACGGGACCGGGGGCCATGGCAGGAGGGGTCAGGTTGGGGTGCAGAGGATGGGCCGAGACCCACCCCTGTGCCCACTGCAGCCTCGTGACCCACAGTTCCTTTCAAGGTGCACGA